AAAAAAATCTTTTTAACACACCTTAACATGATTTATTTACGGTGTACAGTATGTGAAAAAATGTATCATTGATCAGCTGGTGCTGCACCTGATCTATAGAAACTTCATCCTGATTTCCAGGCTTTTCTGACACGAACACAACATCAGACTTGAGCGCAGAGAGAGAACACAATGAGATACAGAGAAGTAAGTGTGTGTGTGAGTAAGTTTTTTTAATTATTTTGATTTTGGATGAATCGTGACCTGCAATTTTTCTTGACAGTTTTGTGATTTGGACCCTGCTGAAACTTAAAAAGCTGATGTGAAAATTTGAAAAGTTGCCTTGGTAATTCTAAAACTGAAATCAAAATAAACTGAAGATAAACAGAAATACATTTTTAAAAAATGGGGGGGGGGGAAAGTTTATTTTCCCCCAAACTTTAACTAAAATTTAAAAAATTAATAAACACTATGCAAGTGTATATAAATAATACTAAAATATAAAAAAACCCTGAAAAACTAAAAACATGTACAGGTGCATCTCAATAAATTAGAATGTCGTGGAAAAGTTAATTTATTTCAGTAATTCAACTCAAATTGTGAAACTCGTGTATTAAATAAATTCAGTGCACACAGACTGAAGTAGTTTAAGTCTTTGGTTCTTTTAATTGGGATGATTTTGGCTCACATTTAACAAAAACCCACCAATTCACTATCTCAACAAATTAGAGTACTTCATAAGACCAATAAAAAAAATTTTTTAGTGAATTGTTGGCCTTCTGGAAAGTATGTTCATTTACTGTACATGTACTCAATACTTGGTTGGGCCTCCTTTTACATCAATTACTGCATCAGTGCGGCGTGGCATGGAAACAATCAGCCTGTGGCACTGCTGAGGTGGTATGGAAGCCCAGGTTGCTTTGATGGCGGCCTTCAGCTCATCTGCATTGTTGGGTCTGGTGTGTCTCATCTTCCTCTTGACAATACCCCAGATTCTCTATGGGGTTCAGGTCAGGCGAGTTTGCAGGCCAATCAAGCACAGTAACACCATGGTCATTGAACCAGCTTTTGATGCTTTTGGCAGTGTGGGCAGGTGCCAAATCCTGCTGGAAAATGAAATCAGCATCTCCATAAAGCTTGTCAGCAGAAGGAAGCATGAAGTGCTCTAAAATTTCCTGGTAGATGGCTGC